ATAAAGTCCCTGCCTCACCATGTATATCGTATGGCTAAACACGTCTTCAAGTTAGTAAGTTAAATATAGTTAGAGGTGTTCATTTAACACGTGGGGAGCTGCCCCGAGCCGAATGGAGAGCCTTCATTTAATCGAAAAACGAGAAAGAGAGCAGGGAGAATTTTTTTTTAACTAGATACGATAGGAGACTAGAATTATATTATTTGTCTCCACTGTCTTTTAATATTATATTATATTTTTTATAAAATATTATTAAATTTATTACCCGATATTTCAATATTATATTATATTTTTTTTCTTATAAAATATTATTACTATTGTTTTTCAATATTATATTATATTTTTGATCAATATTATTAAATTTATTACTATTGTTTTTAATGTTATATTATATTTTTGTCCAATATTATTAAATTTATTACTATTATTTTTTAATATTATATTATATTATTTTTTATAAAATATTATTAAATTTATTACTTTTATTTTTCAATATTATATTATATTTTTGCTCAATATTATTAAATTTATTACTATTGTTTTTAATGTTATATTATATTTTTGTCCAATATTATTAAATTTATTACTATTATTTTGTAATATTATATTATATTTTTACTTATAAAATATTATTAAATTTATTACCGTGATTTAGATTAAAAAATTGAAAATATTCCTTAAATTCCATGAAATGAATATATATTTTAAAATATTTGTAAAAAAATAGAGATTTTTTTTTGGCGTAGAAAATTTAATCCCCACGAATTCACAGTAGAGAACCCGCACTTCCGATCCTTACAAGAGAAGTTTTGCGAGAATGAGAACTGAAATAGGTGTAGGGACGAGAAGACTTCCACGTCCCCACCTGACTCTGTGGCTAAACATATTCAAACCCTAATATTACGCTTTAACTCAAAACTCATTTTCATCCCACGCTCACGCAATACATTTTTTTCGAGTTCAAATATATGAGGGTAGAAATCCGAATATCTAATCTTTATATCAACTATATAGCACCCAAATCAGTTGAATTATACTCAAATTTATAGCAAACAAATACATTTTAAATTCAGAGACTAATTACCTGACGATATAAATGGTATAAATCATTCATCTCTATATTCCCTCTCGATCCAACTTCAAAATATACTAAAGGGCGTTCGATGTTCTATTCTCGTTTTGAAGAGCCAACAAATTTTAGGAACACTTTAAGCATCAAAACCAAGTAGAATAGCCAAAATGGTAACTTTTTTGATCAAAGAACAACACAAATGGGAAGAAAAAGAAAGTGACAATCCACAAATTATTGCGAACTGTTTGAAGAGAATAAATTATTTTCTTGAACTGTTTAAATTCCTCTGCCTCCTCTGCCATAGGCTTCCGAAGAGACCAGAGGGAGCTCAAACTTTCTCTCTCTTCTCTCTCTCTCTTGGAAGCGTTTTTTTGGGTTTTAAGAACAATTCTTCCAAGTTTCAGTTTAGTGGGGTTGAAGAAAGTCGCTTGTGGTGCTTGTTTTGCACTCATCAAGCTTTAATTTCAAGAGGGTTTTTCGGGTTTTTTCTCTTTCTGACAATTTCTGCGCTAATTCTTCCAATTCACTCGATTCCGAATGTCATCTACACTTCAACGGATTCAATTCTCTTCCTCCGTAGCCTTTTCTCTTGAATCCACCCGATTTTAGTGCAAAAAAACAGAGCGTTCAGTCCAAATTTCGCGTTAGAAATGGAGAATTTCATCGGAAAACGTAAACCCACCATCAGCCTTTCGCTATTCACCGCCTTGTCCGGTTCATTCTCATCTGATAGAACAAAATCCCCTCGCGATTTTGAGAAGGGCGTTGTTGGGTTAGGCATAGTAGCCGCCATGACCGATTCGGACAAGGTTCATGAAACTTTTGTGTATTCGAAAGCGGCTTCTCCTAGGTCATGCTCGATTCCGATCGTTTCTTCGGCTAAACCTGCGGCGAATTTTAGAGGTGGGTTTAACCTAGAAAAGGAATCTGAGGTTGTTGATGAACTTTCTGAAAGTTATACTTGCATAACTTCACATTTTGGTAATCAAATGTTTGATAAGCGGGTTTACTTTAATGGTGAGCTTGAATTCATCACTGGCCGCTCTTCGAGTGTGGTGAGATCTGGGGTTTTTTCCACTTCCCCCATGAGTTTTGGTGTAGCAGAGAGAGGGTTTTGTGCTGCTGAATTTTTGAGCTCTTGCTATCTCTGTTGCAAGCAGCTTCATGGGCTTGATATCTTCATGTACAGGTAAATATTAGCTCTGCTACCCTTTTCTCCTTTGTTCTTGGTCTCTGTTGGTTGCCTGATTCGTGAAACAATGGATCAACGTTTAGTTAAATCTATGGAAGAACATTGAAACATGAAAGGTTTTATATTCTCTGTAAGTTGTTGAATCATGGTAACTTGGAATCTTGTGTTGTTGAATGTTTTTGTTTCTTTGGTGTTGTCTGATTGTGATGATTTGCTCTTGGTTGATTCATTTATGATATAGGTCGAATCAATGATTTTGTTTTCTTCGTGAAGTTTTGGATGATTAATACATTGATTTTGTGAGATCTCACATCGATTAGGGAGGAGAACGAAACATTCTTTATAAGGGTATGGAAACCTTTCCCTAGCAGACGCGTTTTAAAAATCTTGAGGGGAAGTCCAAAGAAGACAATATCTGCTAGCGGTGGGCTTGAGCAGTTACAAATGGTATCAAAGTCAGACACCAGACGATGTGCTAGCGAGGAGGTTGAGCCCGGAAGGGGGGTGGACATGAGGCGGTGTGCTAGCAAGAACGCTGGGCCCTAAAGAGGGTGGATTGTGAGATCCCACATCGGTTGGGGAGGAGAACGAAACATTCTTTATAAGGGTGTGGAAACCTCTCCTTAGTAGACTCGTTTTAAAAACCTCGAGGGGAAGCCCGGAAGGAAAAGTCCAAAGAGGACAATATTTGCTAGCGATGAGCTTGGGCTATTACAGATTTCCTCATTCTATTTGTACACGAGATGACTCTTTAGGAGCGGTAAGCAAGTAGCTAGCACCGATGTGAGATCCCACATTGGTTGGATAATGAAATATTCTTTATAAGGGTATGGAAACTTCTCCTTAGCAGACGCGTTTTAAAAACCTTGAGGAGAAGCCCGAAAGGGAAAGCCCCAAAGAGGACAATATCTGCTAGCGGTACGCTTGGGCTGTTACAACCACATGGCAGATTTTGGGGCTTTACGATAGGTTTCCATCCTTTTGGATAGTTTCTTTTCTAGTGCAACGATTTGTTGAATTACATAATTATTTTAGATTTGATGTGGCCTTGGAGTGGGGCCCTGTTTCTGGTATTTGTCAACATGATTGTGTTTGTTCCTAGATTGATATGATTGAGTTTGGTTATTGTCTCCCTTAGAACTTATGTCTGCATTACAATTCAGGTGTTTCGCTCGGTGTCGTAGCTTATATGATAAAGAACTTACCGTCTTCTCGTATAGTTAAGTCGTTGGGGGTTAAAATGGTCCTTTTTTTGAAGTACAACAACGCGGGCGGGGTGGGGGTGGGGTCTGTCTTTTGGAAGATACGTTAAAAAGTGTTTATCAATAAAGCTACACTCGTGTCGTGTTCTTGTTCTTGTTCTTGTAGAACTAAAGAACTTGCAGTTTGATGGTTGCAAGAGATGAGAGTAACTTTCAGGTCAGTTTGTATAGTCTCTAAGATAATTCTGTTTATAGATTCTTTTGTTTTTTTGACGATCGTTAATAGTTTATTTCAAAAGCAGCCATTAAATAGTTAAGAAGCAACTGAAAATATTTCTTTCAAGCCAAGAAGGAACGTGTTCGGTTACTGTGAGATCTCAGATTAGTTGGAGCGGGGAATGAAGCATTCCTTATAAGGGTGTGGAAACCTCTCCCTAGTAGACACATTTTAAAACTGTGAGGCTAACGGCGGTATGTAACGGGTCAAAACGGACAATATTTGCTAGTGGTGGGCTTGGGCTGTTACATATGGTATCAGAGCTAGACACCGGGTGGGGTGCCAGCGAGGACGTTGGCCTCCTGAGGGGTATGTAACGGGTCAAAACGGACAATATTTACTAGTGGTGGGCTTGGGCTGTTACATATGGTATCAGAGCTAGACACCGGGTGGGGTGCCAGCGAGGACGTTGGCCTCCTGAGGGGAGTGGATTGTGAGATCTCACATTCGTTGGAGAGGGAACGAAGCATTCCTTGTAAGGATGTGGAAACTTCTCCCTAGTAGACGCATTTTAAAATCGTGAGGCTGACGGCAATACGTAACGGGCCAAAGTGGATAATATCTACTAACGATAGGCTTGAGCTGTTACAGTTACGACTACAGAATTTCACACCGAAATGATATCACCTCTCAGATGCAATTCTTGGTTTAATCTCTTCTTTGCTTCAACTCTAAAAGTTTGGCTGTTTCTTTCCTTTCTTAATGAGGACTTAAGTGTTCATTTTAAGTTAGCTACAAGTGCACAACATCAGACAGCTATTATTCCTTTGTCTGGACATTATAATAATCTAGTATATGACTTAATCGTGGGGCGATAATGTTGGCTCGACTCTTTCTTGGCTAATACTTCGAAGATACCTCCTCGGGTATCATCGCTTACATGGGTTTGTTTGATGTTTGGACTTCTATGCTCTTCAATAATCATATAATTTCATGCTTGATATGTAGAGAAAATCTTCCTCATCTTATTGTTGTTCTAATGAGAACGATGATTCGAGTGGAAAGATCTGAGTCATGAATAGCTGTTTCTTTTGTCGATTGAAATATTTGAATCCTGAATAGTTGTTTCTTTTGTCGATCGAAAGATTTGAATCCTGAATAGTTGTTTCTTTTGTCGAGTGGAAATTTCTGAATTCTTAATAGCTGTTTCTTTTGTCGAGTGGAAAGATCAGAATCCTAAATAACTGTTTCTTTTGTCGATCTAAAGATTTGAATCCTGAATAGTTGTTTCTTTTGTCGAGTGGAAATATTTGAATCGTTGATTGAAAGATCTTAATCCTGAATAGCTGTTTCTTTTGTCGATCGAAATATCTGAATCTTGAATAGCTGTTTCTTTTATTGATCGAAAGATTTGAATCCTGAATAGTTGTTTCTTTTGTCGAGTGGAAATATCCGAATCCTGAATAGCTTGTTTCTTTTGTTGAGCGGAAAAATTTGAATTATGAATACCTCTTTCTTTTGTCGATTGAAAGATTTGAATTATGAATACCTGTTTCTTTTGTCGATCGAAAGATTTGAATTATGAATACCTGTTTCTTTTGTCGATCGAAAGATCTGAATCCTAAATAGTTGTTTCTTTTGTTGATCGAAAGATCTTAATCCTAAATAGTTGTTTTTTTTTTTGTTGATCGAAAGATCTGAATCCTGAATAGTTGTTTCTTTTGTCGATCGAAAGCTCTGAATCATGAATAGTTGTTTCTTTTGTCGATTGAAAGATCTAAATCCTGAATAACCGTTAACTTTTGTCGATCGAAAGGTCTGAATCCTGAATAACTGTTTCTTTTGTCGATCAAATTTTCACCACACAAGCGTTTTAACCAAGATATTTTCAGGGTTTCTTGTCATGTACTTCATGTGGTTGATATGAGATTACATGTGAGTGGTTGATATGAGATGACATGTGAATGAATATGAAACTTTAGCAATATGGTTGGCTTCCATCCAAGATTCTCATGAACTTGGAATCTTCCTTTTACCTTGAGAATGACTTTGCTATGTTCCATTATTATGCAGAGGTGAAAAAGCGTTTTGCAGCGTCGAGTGCCGTGACAAACACATAAGAGGCGACGATTGCAGGGACAAATGCAGAGCGGAGGCCATGAAAGACTACTCGGCATCATCGCCTTGCTCGGTGACTGGTCCGCTCGCCTTGGCCTCGGGCGTAGTTGCAGCTTAGTAGGTAAAAGCAAAAGCACACAAACAAATTATAAATAGGTGATTGAGGGATGATAAGCAAAGAGTATCAAATAAAGTAGTAGTGAGTAGCAAAGACCTTGTAGAAAGGGCCTACAAATAAGATGGTTTGTATGATGCAAGTGTTATATAAAATGTATGAATTATGGGTCATATAATATGATAATGATATGATGTGATAAAACTCTATTAGCTTACAATACCCATAATATTTGATATTCAACCTTATTATATTATATTATACTATATAGTCGGGCTCTATTTATTGTCCCTTTGGAACGATATTCACGAGCTCGACAACCTTTCGCTTTATCTTTTTGACTGGTGCCTAAAAAAGGTTCATTTGCCTCCTTGATTGTCAATTGTGTAATATATGGATGATATTTTTGGTAGTCTTCTCGGACATGGGTGTCTTACCTTTACTAAAAAAATAAGACTATCACGTGGCTTAAAATACTTAGTAAGTAACTTAATTGTTGTGGGTTGGAAAAAGCAAACACGGGTGATGTGATGAGACTTATCCTTTTAAAAATAACATGGCATGACCTTAGGGAGATTTTCAGTCCGGACAAGGTTGGATGTGTAGTACTTCTCTACACACGGCCCACGCATGGGCACGTGGGTCTACCAAGCAGGGTCACATATCCCCTGGGCTTGGTTCATCGAGCTAGCACTCACTAATGGGCTGCTAGATGACACAATCGCACTTTCGAAGGCAGCGGACTAGCGATTGTGCGGCACTCAATTTCCAACGACAAGTGAGCTAAGCCAATTTGTTCTCGCGTCGCCTACGGCCAAGCGACGTATGATCGAGCCTCTAGCCTCGGTTTTAAAAGAAGGTTTTAGAAAATGAGGAGAGAGAGAGATTTTAGAAAGAGAGACTTTGGAAAGAGACGTTATATAAGCAAGCAAGAGAAAGATAACAACGGCTTAGCATATATAACCTTGGGTAGGGAGAAGTTGACAACTAGTCATATCCCCTATAGTACATTCTGAGCCATTTTATGTCTGGCAGGCTTAGACCTGATATTTTTGAGGCGTCATACGCCCTAGAATTACAAAAGAAAAAACACTAGAATGAAAAGACATGACAAGGGTTTGGCTTGTCATGGGCATGCGGCCATGGGCAACACGCCCTGGACGAGCATGACCGTGACACACTAGACACCACAAAAGGAAAGAACTCACATAACATCATGGCGAGTATAAATGTCGTAAGGTACACGTTCATACTAATTATAACGGGAAAGTATCTCAATGTACATGAAACGCAAGATTGTATGAGGTCCCCATAGCTTAAAATCATGACATAACTTTATGTTGCAAGTCAAATCTTCATTCTTTTATAACATAACGAGTCTACGAATCATGCATGCATAATTCCTGTCAAATCTTTCATATATAAGATAACTTGCATGGTGTGGTGTATGGAGGTTTATGCATCATAGATTATCAACATCATTAACACAATTCTACAACATGACATGATCACACTATAACATACCTGCTACGCAAGGAATAACACAACATTGCATAACATAACAATGCATAACATGGTACAACATGATATAGTATAACATAACAACCATAATTATGACACGTGCATGGGACACAAGGTACGCACCATCATACATTGTACAATTCATCTAACAAAGCCAACTGTAAAGCCACTTACTTAGTTGGCCTAAGTCAGAATTACTAACTATTCCTAGAGCTGGCTTGAATATGTTCTTCAACATTCAATTCAATCTATGTGAACCCACGACATCAAATTAGAATAAACTAACGAGCTTAACTTACCTAAGGGTATCAGATGATTCTAATTTTTAGCGGTAAAAAAAAAAAATGTAGAAAACAAATCCAAGTAGCCCAACTCGAGCCAAATGAGCCGTTTAAGAGCTGCCAGAGTTCGCCAAATCAAGTTGAGCCGTTATATAAATAACTAAAATATAATAAAACTCAAATATCGAACGATCACAACCCACATGTTACAAGTCACAACGCATTACTGAAATTAGTAATAAACATCAAATATCCTTAATCTTCGTAATAATCTTAAAAATATGGACAAATTGAGTTATAACTCTATTTTTGGGTTGGTCAAGTCGACTCAATAAAAAAATATCAACCCACAAACCGACCTGTAATGACCCAGATCCACCACTAGCAGATATTATCCTCTTTGGACTTTCCCTTTCGGGCTTCCACTCAAGGCTTTAAAACGTATCTGCTAGGGGAAGGTTTCCACACTCTTATAAACGTGTTTTGTTCTCCTCCCCAATGGGACATCACACAACCTAAATTTTCAATTTTTCAAAAATTTAACCCAACCCAACTTTTATAGTTTGAGTTAGATGGTTCAGATTGATCGGGTTATCAGGTCATATGAACGCCCTAAAAAGTATACAAATATTTTACTAGTAAGATTTCCCGAACACCCAACACATAACTTGTGATCATCGATCCTTAAATGAATATTTAAAAAATTTTGAAAGGAAAAGAAAACAAACTTTTTAAAAGTGTTAAGTTAAAAGTTTATAATGATATCATTTCTTTGTTTAGAGATAGCAAGTCTAATCAAGTCGGCAAGCTATGCATGTTGTTACCGCCTACAAATGCATGTGAGTGTATTTTAATTTATTTGATCATATACTATACTAAATTTCATTATATTTATTAAAAAGAGATTACGTATAAATGATTGTACGGGTGTACTTGGGTTTGATTGTTCGGGTTGTAAAATTTTCAACCTAAACACAACCCTTACTAAATAATGAACCTAATCGATTCAGAAATTTTTTGAATTGTGTTGATTCGGGTTGTTCGGGTGGTTTGTTAATTTTTTTAATAAAAATAAAATGTTTAGTTTGTAAGATATCTCTTTATTTATTTATTTTCAAACATTTAATTAAGATTTATAACTCCATTTGAAAAATTACCTTCAAATGATATCCCACATTGGTTGGGGAAGAGAATGATACATCGCTTACAAGGGTGTGGAAACCTTTTCCTAGCAGACGCGTTTTAAAGCCTTGAGGGGAGCTTGTAAGAGAGCTCAAAGAGAACAATATCTGCTTGCGGTGTGCTTGGGCCATTACAAATGGTATCACAGCCAGACACCGGGCTGGGCCATTACAAATGGTATCAGAGCTAGACACCGAGCGAGGTGCCAGCGAGACGGCTGTTCTGAACTTACAATAGATTTGATTTAACAACCTTGTCGAAGAACAAGATCTGTAGAACGATTAACAGTAAAGAAAATTTGCTTCTAAACTATGATTCAAATCATTTCACAAGATAGCTTAATCAAGACTACTTGAATGACTCGAACATACAAATCTAAACACAGGAACAAACCCAAGAAGCATAATATACAACTTTCATTTTAATACCAAAAATCTTCGAACTAAAGCAACATGTATGAATTTTGTCATCTACCATGAAATCTTTGTAGCATGATTAAGACAACTTATTTCATCATTTGATATCAGAGCTTTCCCTTGTGTTGATTGATCCTTATCATACCCACCAACTATCATCACTTATAAACGTCAAATATTCTTAATTTTCATAACAATCTTAAAAGTGAGACAAAGATAAGTTGGGTTGTGAACCCTATTTTAACCCGACCAAATCGAATCAAATTTTTCGATTTTTCAAAAAACTCAATTCAACCAAAACCGAAAAAAACCCAACCCAACCCAACCCATAATTTATGTTAGTTAAACACGACTCTCCACAATGGTATGATATTGTCCACTTTGAGCATAAGCTCTCATGGCTTTGCTTTGGGCTTCCCCAAAAGACTTCACACCAATGGAGATAGTATTATTTGATTATAAACCCATGATCATTTCCTAACGTAACCGATGTGAGACTTTCATCATCCAACAATTTGAAGTGCATAATCCGAATTGTTCGGGTCATATAAACACCCATATTACCAGACAATCTTTTGGACGATCTTTCTCGTGGCTTTGTTGCTTCAATCTTAGGTAAACCAAATAAGGAAGGTGGGGTTGTTTTGTTCATTCTTTGGCACTACTCTCTCTTTTTGCTATCAATAATTAACATGAACCACTCATGTTTATCACGGCGGAGCTCATCATCAACCCCTTCCACCATATCTATATGAACCCATCTCTCAACTCAACCATCTTCATCTCTTTCTCTATTACCATGGGGCATTCACCAACAAAGCTTGCATTCCTTAGCTTAGTTTCTCTACTAGTTTTGGGGTTGCTCACCAAGTTCTTGTTCATCTCCTTAAACATCCTTTTAATCACTCTTTCCATTGCTTTTGTCTTTGCTATCATACTCTTCTCCAATTCCTCCAATACTCCTCCTGGTCCTCTCCCTATTCCTATCTTCGGGAACTGGCTCCAAGTCGGGAACGACCTCAACCATCGTGTTCTTGCGTCGTTAGCGCAGAAATATGGCTCGGTGTTCCGACTCAAACTCGGTTACAAGAATCTAGTCGTGGTGTCTGATGTTGAGCTTGCTAGACAAGTTCTTCATGCTCAAGGTGCGGAGTTTGGCTCTCGTCCTCGAAATGTCGTCTTCGACGTTTTCACTAGTAATGGACAAGATATGGTGTTCACGATTTATGGTGAGCATTGGCGTAAAATGCGTAGAATCATGACACAACCACTTTTTACGAACAATGTTGTGCATACCTATAGTGGTATGTGGGAGGAAGAAATGGATTTGGTTGTTCGTGATCTTAAGAATAACTCGAAGATGAGATCCGAAGGGTTAGTCATAAGAAAGCCCTTGCAATTGATGATGTACAATATCATGTATCGAATGATGTT